ATACCCTGTGGAGTTTCCCTGGTGAATTCATGCCCTGTTTACTGTGTGACTGCTGAATTTATTCCACTCTAGCCTGTCGCCATCAAATTCACACTCATTTAGTCTCACAACCAAACTCACCCCCTGTCCTGTGGTCACTGAGCATGTGCAGCCAGATCTGCCCCTTTTCTATAAGGACTCGAGGCTCAGACATTCTTTATTGTCAACACATCCATGTATAAGTACAATGTCTTGAAATGCCCTTTGCCTTTGGTCCCCTGTAGTGCTACACATAAATACAAATGCAATAAATACAATTTCTTTGTTTCCCTTTTCCTTGATTGTTTCATTGTCTTAATGATGTTGTAATGTATCACAACACACACATGTAAAGCACCTTAGGACGACTCTGTTGTGTAAGTGCTAAAAAATATAAAATAAAAAATATATGTATTTTTATATAAAAACATACAAATATATTGAATAAACATAACACAATAAAAATGTAATCATAACCCTATTTCCAGAAAAGTTGGGATACTGTCTAAGATATAAATAAAAACAGAATGCAATGACTTGCAAATCATATAAACCCAGATTTAATTGAAAACAGAACAGAGACAACATATCAAATGTTGACGGTGAGAAATTTTATTGTTTTATGACAAATTATATGCTCAATTTGAATTTGATGGCAAGAACATGTTTCAAAAACTTTGGGACAGGGGCATGTTTACCACTGTGCTGCATCACCTCTTCTTTTAACAACACTGCAAATGTTTGGGAACTGAGGAGACTGAAAGTGAAATGTTGTTCCATTCTTGCCTGACATAGAATTTCTACTTCTCAACAGTTCAGGGTCTCCTTTGTTATTCATGATAATCTAAATATTTTGTATATAAAGAGATGTGTAGCAGCCAGTAATGTAATAACTGCCAACAACATTGTATTTTTTCCATTCTTAATGTAATACAAGTCGGTAATGTAATAACCGGCCAATAAAGAGATACATTTCCTGAACCAATAACATAATTGCCGATATTGTAATAAAGTGTTAGATTATTGGCCACTTATTACACTGTCACTTTCATCGACAGGCTGCTTTCACTAATCCTGTCCTTGCTCATCATCTGCATGCTCGGTATTCCTTTTGTATTTAGTGCTCCATGCAAATCCAGCCACTTTGCATTTATAAATCCTATTGGTTTCGTGTGACGTGCTGACATTTTTGTTCTGCGCTTGGTTAGTTTTTTTCCTAGTTTTGTAGGTGAGTTTTTGGCCATGTGAGGAAATACCGGTGACCCTGCTCTGGCTAAGCAGCTAGAAGAAGGATGGATGACTGCACAGTATAGACTAAGCTCATGGGGTTTGGTCCCTCATATTGCAGTGAATTTATCGGGATGGACTGCAAGTTGACCTACAACGTCATGCCACTTTCCTGAACTGAATAGTAGACAACTGCCTAATACTGATCTGGATACATCGCCAACACTCCAATTCACAATATTTGGATATTTCAGCAGATTTTGGCATGCAGGTACAGTCATGCTGACCACTTGGACTCCTCAATTCCACTGATAATCTGTGGGGAAAAAATGGAGGATAAACAAACACAGGACATAATTATATTTATACTATAAACACTATCGTAGGAGGTTAATCAGATGGCTATTATTTTGGGTTAGAAAGCATCCATTTTCTGTAAACACTTATCCTTTTCAGGGTCAGAGGGGTCCAGAGCCTATGGGCGCAAGGCAGGGAGGAACCCAGGGATGGGGGGCCAACCCATCACAGGACACACTCACACACCACTCACTCACACATGCTCACACTCACACACCACTCACTCACACACGCACACCTATGGGCAATTAACCTCAGCATGTTTTTGGACTGTTGGGGGGGGGGGAACTGGAGTACCTGGAGGAAACCCCATGACAACACGGGGAGAACATGCAAACTCCACACACATGGAACCCTGGCAGAGACTTAAACCCCGGTCCCAGAGGTGTAAAGCGACAGTGTTACCCATGTTGCTGTCTGGGTTAGGATTGCACCTTCCTATTCCATTTTTTTTTAACTTTCCATTATTTATTTTTTATTTTCTCTTTTCAAACTTACATGGTTCCATTTTGTTTCTTTTACATCCATCCTTCAGGATGCCGTGTATCTGTTGTTTTTTTGTGTAGCCATTCATGTTAGCCTTATAACTTCACTTACTTAAGTGACAGACGGAGTCTAATGGAGCCCATCTCCTAGGCAGTTGCTGGCTCGTTAAACTCTCTCGCTCCTTCCTCACGCACAGACGTTCTCATGTTCCAGAGTACAAATCACAAGTTGTTCCAACTCCCAGCTCTGCTGTTCTTCCTCACTTCATGTTACCCTCCCACAAATCCCAGCATGAGGCTCTCCATCAAAGCCTGTAAGCACATTCTGTACAGGCACAGACGGCCTGCATCTGATCCGTAGACAAGATGCATTGTGGCATCCTCTATATCTCATGCGTAGTCTTTTACGAAGGCCAGGAGTGACTAAACAGTCTAACATTTTCAAAAAAGGGGATAGAAGTAATTTGTCAAACTATAGGCCAATCATTGTATAACTGGTAAAGTTATGGAGGCTATAATCAAAGA